GTGTTTGGCTCCTTTGTCAAAGATGAGATGGCTGAGTGTGTCTGGCGTTGTTTCTGCATCTTCTAATCTGTTCCACTGGTCAAGTCTGTTTCTTTGCCAGTACCATGCTGTTTTTGTCACAGTAGCTTTGTAGTATAGTTGCAGGTTGGGGCTTGTAATACCCCCTGCCATGTCTCTGTTACCTAGAATTGCTTTTGCTATTCTGGGTCTCTTCTAGTTTGTGATATCTTAAAGAAGTGCTCATTTCCATCTCATGTTGGGAAGCATGTTCCTGGACTACCTTCAGGGTTCTGGAAGGGGTTTTGCAGGCCAGGGTAAGAGGTTAGAGATGCATATATCTCTGCATTCACATGTAAGTCATTGTATCTTCCTGCAACCAGCTTTAAATTCTGCCCTCCAGCTGGAGCACAAGCTGGGCCCTTGGCAGATGCCTGCCTGTCCATGCAATTCAGAAGCAAAGAGCGCCCCGAGGACTGTGGGTGCCAGTGGTTATCTACATTCTGAGCAGGATGCTGGTCTTACTGAAGATCCCTACTTGGGCTGTGGCAGAGCCTGGTCCTCTCCCTTGGTGGCCTAATAACCTATTTCACAACTTGATGGTATCAGTTTGAGCAAACCCCTCCCTAAAGTGCCTTAAATTACAGTTTCTTGAATGAAATACCCAATATATGGGAACAGATTAGCTGAGGAAAGCAAATGTAGTGACTTTATTTTCAGTGACCAGCCACCACATCTGTGTATGGTCCCCAAAAATAAATGAAAAAGAAAAATCTCTTTTTAAGATCAGCCAAAATTCTAAATGACCTAATATTCTTTAGGGTTGTTGATACTTTCTGACAGCCTTGGTCTGGGGAACTTGGAGCAACAAAGGCTGCTATCTCTTCATATCTAATCATCATTGTCTAATTTCAGCCATAAGAAAAATTTAACAAAATCCTACAGAAAGACTGCTTTCTGATCATGAGATTACTTGAACAGGGATGTGTACTCTGAAGTATTATCAGAAAAGTCATGGATTTTTACTATTTACTCAACACCAGCTCACCACTGACATATATTTAAAGGGCTCTGACAATGAGTTCATTTCTGAGTCCAAAGATTTCCTTTAATGTACATTCTTTAGAAGAGCTCCTCCTTCCTGTGCAGGACATCTGTGGTCCTGGGCTCTGTGGTCACCCTCGCAGGCTAACTGGCCTCAACCACACTTCCCCGAAAGTCATCTGTGGAACTGGACTATTCGCCAAGGAGCAGCCAGGTCCCTGCATAGCACAGCTTGAAGACACTGCTAGCTGTTCATTGCCAATTACCAGGGCAAACATTTGTATTTCAAAGTTGACAAACAGAATAACAATGCTCAAAGACTATTAGCTCTAAAAATACTTTGTCTTACTAAATGCTACCCTCTTTTGTGACACTTATCTATGGTTAACAGTCAAAGGTAACATTTCTTAGACACACATATACCAATAAAAGTGATCCCAATAAATCTCCCTTTGCTCTCCATTAGGTTTATTTTGTTTTGTTTTATTTTATTTTATTTTATTTAGACAGGGTCTCACTAAGTAGTTCAGGCTGGCTTTGAGCTATGTACCCCAGGCTGGCCTTGAACTTGTGGCGATCCTTCTGAATAACCTCCTAAATGCTGGGATTATAAGCACGCACCACCATGCCCAGCTTGCCTCTCATTCAGAAGACCAGTCTCCTCCCAGCTCAGATCAAGGTTATTATTCCAGAAAGCCCCATCACTGATTCGAAGTTTCCTTAGCAAATGAGGGGCTTTGGATACCCTAACAAGGGCTCCTGAATCGGGACTGTTGGTAACATCTCCATGACAACATTATCGTCACCTCTAAGCAGTTAGAGAGGTGAAGCAGATGATCAGCAGTTGGGGGGGGCCTGGCTTGGGTATAACCCGCCTTCCAAGACCAGGCCACTAGCCCAGAAAATTTACTTCACTGAGGGACAGCCACTCAGAGTCTATTCTGAAACTAATGCCCCCCAAAAAAGTGATAGAAAAAGATAGAGGAAACATCCAAACTATGTACAACTTAAATCTTTCGCTAGAAACAACTTACTAATAAGAAACTCAATTTGGGAGAAAAAAAATGTAGACGCTACTCAAATTTGAGGGGCATTATCAGCATAGGAAAACTACTAACTAAAGTATGTGGTGTGTTTCTTTCCTTCTATTGCAAAGTAAATTCCTCATATTTAATCACTTTTGATTTAACAGCATCAATCAAACTGGTAAAAACCTTAATGATGTCATAACATTTATCAAAAGCAAATCCTGAATACAGAAGATCTATGAATCCCCTAATTACTTCCACTTTATGAACTGGCCTTTTAAAAAAATTCAGAGAAATGTTCTTTTGAAGAACAAAGTTTTAAGGGCTTGGAGGAAAGAGAAAGTGATCATTACAAATTCATGGATCCATCAGAGATGTTTTTAATTCCAAATACAGAAGATCAGATCTGATCTGGCATTATTTCTACATGTTTAGAATAACTTTTCACTCCAAATTCAAGGTGACAATGGCATAAAAAGATATCCACAGGAAAAGACTGGCATGAAACACAATAAAATGATAATAGTTGTTGCATTAGCTTTTTTTCTGTATTTTTCAAATATCCTATGATATGGATATATAATTTTACAATAAAAGTGTAAATTGAGAAAGAATTTAAGGTTACAACATATAGTTGGGGTTTTGGGAGGGGTTTTTTGGTACTGGGGATTAAACTCAGGACCTCATGCTTGCCAGGTAGGCACTGTGCTGCTGAGCTAAATCCTGGCCCAATATAGTTGGTTTTATAAAACAATTCTACAATGTGCAAAAAGGAGACATTCAACTAAGATCAGGAAAGGCTGCCTGGGAAGACTCCCTAGGACGCTGGGGTGGGGGCAGGTTTAAAGCTCAGCCCTTTGGTAGCTTTTCTGGCAGTGCAGTCTTTGGAGAAAGGAAGCAGTGGAAGCTCCCTTTCCTGAGGCACCACGGACTCCTACCAAGCTCCTGCGACCAACAGTGGATCTCTACATGTTTATCAGCTTCGTGTTCCTGAGGAATCACAGGGCACTTCTGAACTCTGTACTTGATCCAGTTTGGGGGTGAGGAAAGTGAGATTCTCACACAGACACCAAAATGACCAATGAACAGTGGCTTCCCTGGAACAGAAGCCATGGTAGGCACCAAACCTCCCCAGCAGACTCCTGTTCCCATGCATAGGCTTATGGAAAAGAGAGGTCACATTTCCTTTTCAAGTTGTATTCCATAAACTCAACTGTATTTATTTTTAAAATTACAACTATATGCACGAGGCTGTAAACAGATCTCAGTCACACTGACCCCACAGAGAGGACAGAGGGGACTCTCTGTACCCTTTCAGGGAGTTGTTTTAGGCACCAAAAGCAAAATTTGTATTTAAAAGAGGTGTATATCTCATGAGATAAATTTCCAAAAGTCATTTTTCGAATGTCCTTGTGGAAATTCAAAACTAGTAAATCTACCCAGAGAGAGGGATTACAAATGCTTACTGTATAAGTAATATGAAAATTGAAGTCTCTCAGCAAGGTTTCAGAGTCCATTTGTCAAGAAATCACAGTTGTGCCCAAAGGCTGTACAGACACTAATGTGGCTTCCTTCTTCGGTCACAAATAGTGTTCTCCTCCTGTCTGAGGGGTCGAGATGCTGAGCATTTGCCTAATCCCACGGGGTCCCTGGGTCACAGCTGCTGGTTGGTGAAGAAGGATTTAGTCTCCCTGCAGACAGGATTTACGCAGAGCGGACAGCTCAGAGTCAACTGCTTGGAGCACAGCTTGTTTGACTGGATGTGTGAGTGCACCAAGTCAGCCAGGGCCTGCAAGATACACAAGAAACAGAGTGTCAGAAGCACAAAGTCTGCTGGCAGAAAAGTCTGCTAGGCCGGCATGTGTGTTGGATTCAGGCTTTTAATCTGCATTGTAAAGTCTTGAGCTGAATTCCACATCTTCCTTTCCTGAGCATCCTCAGCTTAGGGAAAACTAAAATACGGAATCTAGGAAATGCATCCTCTTACCTCACCCACTCCCCCTTTTCTCTGAAAAGCAGATTTTAAATTATACATAGTTATAGGGGGGGTAAAAAAAAAAAAAAGAAAATTGGGGCTACCTAAAGGAAAAAGGAAGGAGTAGATAAGGAATTCGATCTTATTTTTGTAATTAATTGGAACTCCAAATGTTCTAATATGTGAGAAAACCAATATTCTGCAAGAGCTTCTCAGAGGATTACTCCTCGGTATGTTCTACTAAAATGGATGTAACACTGCAGATACCTTAGAGAACAATGGATTTCCATTAAGAGACTCCGCTCTTCTGATGTTTTCAGCTCCACACTGAATCAAATGAGAAAGGGGAGGAAAAACAGACACATTTTTATTTATTTTAAGAAACTGCTATAAAAATCACACACATACACAACTTCATATTCTGACTTCAAGCATGGACAGACTGTACATAAATGAGGGTGACAGGCCAGCACATGGGTGATTTCTGCTACCACTGATTGTTCTTCAGTTTCTGTCCTCCCCGAGCCCGTTACTTTCCTACAGGTGAGCTGTTTCCAGACCATGGCTGAGGTTATTCTTGATGGAATTCTCAAATTAATTTAAATCTGCCTGTCATTCTTTTTTATTCTAATTCTACTTTTTTAATATATGCCCTTACAGACTCTACTTAAGTAGAATGTTGCTTTAATTAAGTAAAATTTCCTACTTGCTTTGATCCCAAGTGCCAAAATGAAGAAATTAATTTATGGACTCTGAAATGTATAATGGATCTAGAATGAATATAGTGCAGAGTTGGGTTTTTAAAATATATTCTTAAAGAGAAAAATACAAACTAAAACGCACTCACATGCACATGGATTGTTTCAGTATCATTCTCTTCCTCCTCTCCAAAATATTCAGTTAATCATCTCCCAAATAACTAAGCACTAATTAGGATTTACTTGGGTAGTTAGGACCTTCTCTCTCTTTCCTGAAGATAGTTTGCCAGCTGCTTTATCTTTCTGATGGAAAGATAGGATCAGGAGACCGGTATGGGAAACATGCTGAGATTCGGTGGACACATAGATCTCAACTGAGGGGGAGGCTGTACTGTGAAACTTCACACAGAACTCAGCCACAGCCATGCAGCCAGGGCTGGCAGAGGGCAAACTGCTGACAAGCTCGAGGGTACGCTCCTGAGGACATCTGGGAAGTGCGCCTCAACACTGACACGCTGTCTAGGAATCTGTCCTTAGAAAATAACTGGAAAAAATAAATGTATTTATTATAAAGTGGGGTGGGATAGCAAAAATTAAGAACACTTTAAAGATATACCCATTAGGTTTGGGTTAATAATTACAGAGATCTAATTATATTTACTGATTGAGGTCCATAATATATTTTTTTCCATAATATATTTTTAAGAAAGATAAAAAGATTATAAAACAGTATGAATAAAATACTATTTCTGTTAAACATAGAGAAGCCTATTTTTATTAAAACACAGACATTTAAAAGAAAAAGGGACCTGCTGTTATCAAAATATTAACAGATGTTCTGAAGGATAAGATTATAAATGTGTTTCATTTACTATGCTCAGGTATGAGCAAAATCTTTTAAAAAATTTTATTACAGACATATTGCCATTAATCCCTCTCAAAATACTCCCCCTCACTTCAAACAGACCTATGCCATTGTGCTTGCCACTTTTTGAAGCACTTCTGGAAGTCATCTTTTGTGTGACTTTAGCTACTCTAGTGTGGCTGCCCCGATGTCCTGAACTGATTCAAAACGTTAACCTTTCAGGGTTACTGTGACCTTGGGGAAGAGCCAGAAGTTGCACAGTGCCAGATTTATTGAATAAAGAGGATGAGAACACACCATAATGTTTCTATTTTCACAGAAACTGCCATGAACATTCTGAATCAATTCAGGACACTGAGGCAGCCATGAAAAGACACTCACGAAAGAAGAGTTGAGAACTGCCTCAGAAAATGGCAAAAACAACAGAATAAGTGTATCTGAAGCGAAAGCGGTAAGGAGTATTTTGAGGAAGCTTAATGGCAATGTGTCTCCTACTGCAATAAATTTTTCTTTATTTTTGGTTTAAAATTTGGTGTGCTTTTTTATCACATCTCATATACTGCTCCTCCACTATTTGATATCCTCACTACTTTTATTATCAAAAAGCAACAAAGTCATTTCTACTTTGGGGGAAAATTTTTAAAACTTTCTGTAGTTAATTATTTTAAACACACTATATTCTCTCAAGATAATGAAATAAATTACACTTAGATGATTTTCTTTATTCTGTATAGGAAGTAATTTATTAGTCACTAATAATCTCTTTGATTACTAAATAACCTCAGCTTAGTAATATAAATGAACGTGAATTATCACTCAATATAGATAAAAACCTACTTTCCAAACAGACTAGTCTGAACTAAATTTCCACTGTCTCTTTTTATTTGACAAGGTCTCACTGTGCAGCTCAGGTTGGCCTTAACCCACACTAGGTACCCCACGCTGGCCTCAGACTTACAGTGACTCTGCTGCTTCAGCCACTTTCCACCTTGGCCTGTACCCACCGCCCACCCCAGCCAGGCTGTGTTCTGTGAGGCCAGGCCTCCAGCCATCAGTCACGCACGGGATGGCCAGGGGTTCCGTAGAAGAGGGGAAGGCGAGAAGGGCTGCTTTGCCTGCGCCTCTACACTTTCCATAGAAACAGATCTATAAACTGGATGTAGGTTTCATGCAGGGTCTCAGAAGCTACAAGATAGGTAAGCAATAGTTTTTCTCTATGCTGAATGACAATTCACATCCATCTTATGTTACAAAACACTGGGCGGTATTATTTCAATAATCAGATTGATCACAACATGGTAACAAAAAGCTAATTAAGTGAGCGCATAAAAAGAGGTCAAGGAAATTACAACACACACAGCTTCCATGTTCATTCTCTGAAATGACTCTGTCTCCTATGACTTGAAACCCAATGGGGATTGTAATAGCCCAAGTAAAGGACACGACTGTATTAGGTGAAGAAAAGGAATTAATTATAGGATGATAAATTTTTCTCTTGGAATTGGCGAGGTGTACAATTCTTTTTTCTTAAAGAAAAGTAGTTGTTATTACTTTTGTGTAGTACACTAACTCCAACTGAGCAAAACGACATTGGCTGCAGTAATCCTTGGGCCACCTGGTTAAATAAGGGCACAAACGTCCTCTCCCACTGCTGACACCAAATGAACTCAAGGTGCTGAGCCAACTACTTGGATGAAGTATTATTCCAAATAATGAGGACACAGCACATGCAAACACATATAGTAAATAATAGTTTGGAATGACACCAATGGTTGCAGAGAACATTTCCTTCTAAAACAAATCACAGTGTGATTAATAAGCTAGAGGAGAGCACCTACCTCCTTGGCTAAAACCTGAGAGTACTCAATATCCAGTTCGTACAGTGTTTCAATGTGATCACTGGTAAAGGCAATTGGAACCAAAAGGATGTTCTTCCTTCCCCTCTCACAAAGCCCTCTGATAGCCTCATCTGTTGGAGGACCCAACCAGGGTACTGGACCAACCTACCAGAAAGGAGGATGGACATGTAAATGGACCCTTCTGCCAATGTGTCCACAGCACTCACTGTCTCCCCACCCTGGGCACACCCACCTGCCCAGTAGGGGTGAGAATCTCTCTTACACCTGTTTGAATGGGTTGTATCGCTGCATTGAAGCCTAAATCATTCTAGAAGTTAACTTAATATAAATAATAATTTCTACATCTAAAAATAAAATATTAAGCCAATGGAATTCTACTAATCACTTGATTTTCCTTTCTATCTTACTTGCTTACAGAATTCTTTCAGCTCATCGTGAGCAATCAGGTGACTAGGGATTGAACTCAGGGACTCCACACTGAGCTACATCCCTAGCCCTTTATTTTTTATTTTGAGACAAGGTCTCACTAAATTACTAAACTGCCCAGGCTAGACTCGAACTGGTGATCCTCCTGTTTCAGCCTCCTAGAGTGCTGGGATCACAGGCATGCACCACCCCTAAAACAGATTTTTTAGAGTTGAGTGCCGGCAATGTGTGAAAGCCACCTACCTTGGACTGCCAAACCAGTCTGTAGGGGTTGGAATAACCAAGTCTTTCCATGACTTTGTGGACAGTGGCACCTACCTCCTGAGGATAGGGGTCCCCTCTGTTGACCACCTGAAGCAGAGACAAAATGGTGTTCAGTTGCCAACATAGCAAAGGGCTCCAAGAGCCTCTGATTGTGTAGTGACATGGGGTTAACCATGGACCAAGCCCTACTTTCTGTCTCCTGAATTACTTATGAAATGACCTGAGCAATCATGGAGCTCTCTTGGTTCCACCTCTTCACTGGCCAAAGAGAACATTGTGCTCCATCATCTCTAAGGTCCCCAAGAAAATACAAAATGCTATGCTCCATGTTGTTAGTAGAAGATTGACAATGTCTAACTATAGAAGGTGACTCTCCTTTATCTCCCAATCTGAAAAAGGGAAATAATAACAGAAAAGCTGGGCAGAAGAGTCAACACAGGATGGAAATGTCCACCTTGGCAGTCCCATGAGTGGTGGATTTTAAAGCACAAACTGAAGTTCAGTATGGACAATGTGTTGAACTGCTGAGAGAAGATGGAGTTTATGGTAGACACTAGTGGAACATAGGGAGGAAAAGGAAAGCACGTGGTTCAGATTCCAGACTCTTCAACAATATGACCCATACCTTCTACTTCTTTTTCTTATCTGCTCCTCTCATGACAATGGACAGCAGCCAAGTGCTTCCTGCACAGTGAGTGTTTATACATGTTCTTAACAGAACATGTTAATTAGGCCTAATTGGCTTCCTAACAGGGTCTGTTAATGAGTTTGAAAATGTTCAGTACAGTATGTTTATAACTATTTTAACATTTCATTGTGTCTGGACTCCCTAAACCCCTTACCCTATTTTATTTTTCTGACATCTATTATTTCTTGACCTACCATATTATTTTCTTACATATTATGTATATTATCTTTTCCCATGGTTATCCAGTGACACATATTTTTGTCTGTTTCCTTCATTCCCATACCATATGAGAGAACAGTGCCTGGAATACAATGTAAAATGTTCTGGCCCCATTCAGGAGCATCTCTTCTGGTATCTCAGGTCTCATCATGCACAGGATGGTTATGTGCAAGGATTTGCATGATACCAGAAAAGAGAGTATGAGCCTGTAAAAATGAAGTAGGCACGCTTCTAGAAGGGAGAGATTTCTCTCCAGAGCCACCTACTGATGAAGTGGCAATGGCCCAGTCAAGGTTCAAGAAAGGGGAAACTGCACTGGTCTTGACTCTGGTGACCATCAGCTGGCAGTACGACACAGCAAGCAAGGTACCCCAACAGTGAGGTGGGTCCCATGGCTATGGACTTCAAACCTTAATTGCACCTATGACAGTGTAATTCTCCACCTCTCTGGATTGGAAAGCAATGTTTTTTAGGACACAATGATAGTTCTGAGCTGATGAAACTGGTTACTTTTTCTACGACTCTATGTATGTATCATACAGCACACTAATTTGATCATTTTTGGCATGTTGGAAATTGAACCCGTTCCTCACATGTGTTATGCAAGTACTTTACCACTGAGCTCTATCCTCAGCGTCTAGTTAGACTGTTCTTCTTTCCAAAACGCAACAGCCATGGCAATGTTTGTGTATATTAATGACCTGGTGCAACATGACTAAGTAAAGAAAAACCAGATCACAACTTGACTACAGGTTCATTGGCCAAACTGTGGTCCCTAATCTTAGTAAGTCAGAAACTATAACTGCTTCTAAATTCAAATGGCTACTATTAAGTCTTGGGGACAGAAGAATGAGATCGGCAGTGCTGCTGTGAACCAAGGCCGGCTGAACAGTTCCACGCACTAAGGCTAAGCTCCTTTGCCAGGGCAAGCACAGCAGTCATCTTTTAACTGTCCCACGTACTGGAAAGTTTTCTATTTGACTATACTGAATCTTCCAGTTATCATTTTAAAGAGGGTTAAGTAGAGATCTGTTTACAATATTTTAATTTGGATTATTAGAGGTTTCAAGAAGTGAGTCTAATTAAGTTAGCACCAAGTTAAATCTGCGGTTTTGTAATTCATTCTTGCACTGGGCTTTGGGCATAATGGATCTGGGACCATTTTACACATTTAGAAAATGAAACAACATAATCCTCTACCATTAGGTCACCCAACAAGATGTTCTTACTTACAGACATAGGCAGTGAGTGAGCAGAAAACAGAATGACCACCTCGTTTCTCGTCTCAAGTGGAAAATGGTCCAGTTCTTTGAGAATGTGGTCTGCAAAGCACTGCAGGAATCCCAAGAAAGGAAGAGAGGGGCAAGTAGGAAGAAAGAAATGGAAAGGAAAAAAGTATTTCATAAATGACAGCTATACCAAAAATCCTGGAGCAATCCTCAAACACCAGAACACTTTTTAAAAATTACAAACAGTACACTCTCTTTGCTTTGGTTCATCATCAAAATGGATCATAACGGTTTCAGGGGCCAAGGGAATTTGATGGGAAACTTCTAAAGCTTGCTAATGGCTCACTGCAAATGAATGCTGTGGATCTGCTTCCCCTCGGGAAGAACAGGGCACACTTCCAGATGGAAAGGAAACACAGATGGGAAGGAGAAGTTGTTTTAAGACCTCTCATTTGCTCTGTTAGCAGGAAAACAGCTTACAGGGTCTTTCTAAATCTCCCTTACTTCGGCTTTCAGGCACATCACATTAAAATACATTAGCCAGAAATAGGAGAGAAATAAGAAAATACTCATTTTTTATGACATCTTCCTGAGTCTAGGATCCTCACAGAGGCAATCTTCCTCACAGCCTACCTGATGACAGATGACAGGCTGTACAGCCCCGTTAAATGCACAGAGGGGGAAAGATACGCTGGACATGAGGTCATCCACCCACACCTGTGCACCCGGGCTACAACACAGGTCCCGTGTGGCCAAACCTCTGTTCCCCCAGACCAGTTCACTCCCTCCTCTCCTTGGCCCTTCCCATCATGCCAATAGGTGCTGCAATGCCAGAGCTGAAGAGCCTTTCCTTCATCTCACACTTTCATCATTCTTTGTCATTTAACTTGCTACAAAGGAAAGTAATGGGCCAACTGACAGAACTGGAACATGAATGGAAAGTAGATAAAAGTTGAGTATCAATGTTAAATTTACTGATGTTGAATGTTGTACTTATTTTAAGACAATAGCCCTAATCTTAAGAAATACATCTTCAAACATTCAAGTGCAGAGAATGACAAGATATAACACAACTTAGTCTCAAATGGTTCAGAAAAATATATATATATACACACTTAACATGCAAACAATAAAGCAAGTGGGATTAAATGTTACTAACATGTGAACACAGGTAAAGAATATATGAGAGCTCCTTATACTATTCTTAATCTCATAACTTTCTCCATGTCTGAAATTATTTCTAAATAAAAAGATTTTGAAGAAATTATAAAAGCAATTTACCAGAACCATATAAATTTGTACTTGTTGGTATTTTGATATACCAATGGTCAGTTAATGCTTACTACAGTATGCGTAAATTAGTTTCTAATAAATATTGAGATATCAATCATTCTGGAACTCTCAAAATTTAGTAAATTAGGGCACTAATGCACAAAATGGTGCCTAGAGTTAAGCTCCATTTTCAGAATTTAAAATTTATCTAAGATTAAATGTGATAGTATTTGATACAAGCAAAAAGTATATTTTCTGGTGGTCTTTGCAGTGTTTAGAAACTAAAGGTGTTCGGAAAGGATTATTTTTGGACAATAGGAGGCCACTGCAAGGTTTATGTAGGAGCCTGGGACAAATTTACTCCAATCATCCCAACAACTAGATGAATAGCAATATTAGAGACAACAGTAATACAATGACTATTTTCAAATAGAAATGTGGATTAAAAGAAATATTTTTATTTTAACCATATTTTTAGTTTTAGCTTAATTCAGGGCTTTGGTTTTGTTTCTTCGCCTTCAAAAAATTTTCTATCTTACCCAGAATTGAGTCTTTTTGGTTTTGTTTGGTTTTCCTTTTCTCACCTTGCAAAATTGTACATAAGAGCACAATTCTTTAGAGCTTGCAACAGTCCCTAAGCCATCTTCAAAACGAAGGTGCCCTGGGAGAGTCGAAGTGCTACTTAAATCACCTAAAGCCCATCTGCGGGATTTCCTGCGCGCAGCCCCTCTGTGGAACGAAAGGGGCACCGGAGCTCTCAGAGCCTTCAATCACGCCATCCAGGAGGGCAGATAAATGCCTCTAAAATTCCCTTTCATTTTATGAACAGAGACTTCCTCGTTTAAGAGACCTTTCCATCTTTCTGCTTCCCCCGTTTTCAAAGGGATGAATTTTAATGCAAATCTAATTACTCCCTCGATCTAGGCAGGCAGATGCTGTGCAGATCCCCGGCTCCCCGCACCACATGTCGGCGCTGACCTGAAACTGTGCCTCCTTCCCCACCACGGCTCCGGGAGCCCCAGTGGGGCACGCAGGCCTCTGGGGCAGAGCTGCTGGACCCAGCAGGAGGGCAAAGGGTGGGGATACAGACCCCACAGGGACACTCAGCCCTAGGGGAGCTCCTTCTTGTCACCTTTGACTTAAAGGAGCTCAACCCAGGGTTTAACCCTTCACGTGCCTGCGGGACCCTGTTCCAGAAGAGCGGGCCTGATTTTAATGATGTCTAGCACCATCTAGTGGTTACAGATTTTAAGTGCCATCAGGCTTTTAAAAATGTTTGCAGGGTTATTTTGCGAGAGGTCAGAGAATAGTCAAGGAATGAAAAATAAACTGGATGAAATCTAAATTACTTCCCATTTATCCCACCTAAAATAACTCAAAATCAGAAACTTCTATGACGGAAAAAAACTATTTGTATGATCTAGGAAACATTTTACCCTCTCATATTTGAAAGCCAGAAAAGAATAAAATATACCAATTTGATGATATTGGTTTTAGAACTGTAGTTTTAATTGATGCTTCTAAAGTTGAGCACCTATTAATATTATAAGTTGTACAGAATAAATATGAAACTTTCTCCATTGAAATGTTAAATTTTATTTCATGTCTCACAACATGTATATATATTAAGTTTTAATAAACTCTTTTGACATTTTAAAGGGTTTAGAAAATAAAGGGTTTAATTTATTTGCCAGTCGTTAAAAGTATGAATGTAAATTAGCCGAAACATTATTTTCAATAATCTTTAATGTTCTTCTGGGCACTGGGAAACACAAAGCTCAAAATCTAATTCAGTTATGATTGAGCACTAATAGCAGTAATCTGAGGAAAGAAAAAAAAGTGTAACTGTTTTAATCTTTAATTTTCTCTTTTTACAAAAAGTGGAAAATGTAATATGTTTTAAAAATTCCTAGCGCATACCGGAAGTGAGAGAACAGCAGGGCTCAGGAGGACACCACAAAGTACTCAGGGACAAGGACTGAGCCATCCCAACGCTGGGTGGCGGGGCACCTGGCAGTCGATGGCTCACCTGGACGAGGAGGGGATGTGTGGGCCACCTGTCAATAGTGCTCCACTTCATCGCAGGCTTCGTTCCCGTCTCATTATAGTATCTATAAATGGCATTTAAGCTGCTGCCTGAAATATACAGGGGCCAAGTAATTGATACATTTTGATTATAACAAATAAAACACAGACTTGTAAAAGCAGTAATTATAAGTCCAAAGTAGGCAACTGCTTCTATATGGAATCCCAGTCTAATTACAATCTTTTCAATACTTTAAAATGCATATGGATTTAACAACCCTGCAAATGAAGATCACTAAAAAGCAATCAATTTCCACAGACTTTCAGTGATTATTGGGGCTATTTCTAGTGAGAAACATGATGGTCATAGATATATGAAACATAAGCAGTTGTTATTTGCAGGGATCACATCTTATAACTGAAATCATAGTAAAATTTCTTCCTATTATGAAGATAATCAGCACCAGTACAGAAAGTGCAGAGGGTGAAGAAGAAAGGAAAAAAGAAATCAGCCACTATCCTAGCATGACAACACATTATTCTAGCACAGGCATTTTCAGTTATTTATCTTTATAGCTGCTTTGTTTTACAAAGTTGTGATGTTAGTATACACCCAACACTGTCCACATTGGCCTTTGGTTTTGGGCCAATACTACGAGGTATCTTCCATGTTATAATAAAAGCTTTATAACCAACCTTTAAACAGCATCATGAGAAGGCAAGCAGCCTACTGAAGTTCTCACGAGCACGCTCTATTTTATCTTTTTCTACAAAACTATCATCATTCCCTAGAATAAGTTAAATGGACACAAAATCCTTACAGTAAGCTAACCACACTTGCATTGCTAAGTGAGAGATGGGAATCGTGAATACTGGAAGCCTAAAGGAAGGCAGATGGTGCCAACACAAAGCAGCTTTTTCCTGGCCCGGGAGAGGTGGCACTGAGGACCAAACCTAACCGTAAGAAACCAACCCTAATAGGGTTGTCTGCTTCAGTCTTAACACAGGGCAAGCTCCAGCATATCTGCATGCCTCTCATCACCAATGCACTGGGTTCTCAGACCACAAGAACTATTAGTCAGGTTTCTAATTTAAAAGGGTAGTCACAACCGAGCCGTACTTTAACTCAAATGTATGCTTAAGGCTAAGACTCAATTTGCAAAAATGGTGAATGGAATCAATTTTGGTGAGTGGAATAAAGTGAGTCAAGAGAATCCAACCTATTCAAGAATCAAAAACAATCTCTCTAGAAATCAAAGTAGTCACCACCATATTCACATTGCAAATTGCATTCTACAGGTGAAAGGCATTTTCAGATATACAGAAAAGATTTTTGAAAACTACTTAGCTCTTTCAGGTCATTTGGAAACATCCAATAAGCTAACCAAAAGAGTAATTAAGAAGGAGAAAATATAAATGAGAAAAGTGCTTGATAGACACATAGTACAGTGGCTCTGCCACAACAGTTTGTGTCTAACTAAAAGACACAATAGATAAATGACACTCTAGTGCCCTAAAGGAATAAATGTGTTTCCCAAAGGCTTTTTTTTTTTGTACCAGGGATGGAACTCGGGACCTTGGGCTTTTGAGGCAGGTAAAATCCAGGGACAGCTAAATCCCTGGCCCTCCCAAAGGCTTCTGTACCTCAGAAGTAAAGATACACCTGTCCTTTCACACAGGATGCATTAAAGCACTGATGATGAACCTTTTAGAGACCAAGCACCCAAACTGCAACCCCAAACCCACTTATTTATCACAAAGTGCCAACGCTGCAAGTAAACCTGAATACCTGATGCTCGGCTGCTGAGGCGATGCTGGGGTGACTTGGCTCGTGTGCCAACACATGCCAACAGCATGTGTGCCATTGGTTTGGCACCAGGCACTAGAGAAAAACTGAGCATGCCCTGAAGTTCTGAACACATTGTAAGAGCCAGATATAAAATGAAATCCACAACCAATCCTTTGTGAGATAAATAAACTTCTTAACTGAGGTATATTTTTTAAAGCAAGACAAAAGTAGAGCTTAAAAATTCTAAAATCTAGCTTATTCTCCAGTGATATGCTACCAGGTATTTTGAAGTTACAGAAGTATATTTCCAAAAGAAACCACAATTCAAACTCTTGAGGGTATTTGAGAATTCAGACATTTTAACAAGAGCTCTGGACAAATACTTAAGGCATACAACAAGCTCTTAATGTTTCTTCCAGTAGCCTTTTTTCTTTCCTTATAGTTGTAGAAATAATAACACTGCTATCTAAAAACAATTTGAGAGTAAAGATGTGCTGAGATCAATCCTTGAAACTGAATGCAAACAAATATATTTGCAGCTAACAGTGGAAGTGTTTCCTACAGTTAACAATACAGACATTGCCAAATAAAGGTTATTCTCTGGGTTCAGCTAAATATATGCGGAACAGCAAGCAGTAACATTTTCTCAAATCAAGAACACTGAGAGAAGTTTGCAAAGAGAACCCCGAACTAGTTTTAGTTTAACTAGCAAACAACTAAATGAAGTACAAAAACCAAACCAAGTAGACAAACAACAAAAACCCCCCAGTATTGCCCAAATTATATGGGCAACACTGCTTTCAAAATGGAAGGAGCTATCACCTTTGCAACGTTAATATCGGGATAACCATAAAAATAAAGTTTGAAGTCAATAAATGTAATACACTATATCAACAGAGTCAAGGACAAAAACACTATGATCATCTCAATAGATGCAGAAAAGGCATTCGACAAAATCCCACACCCATTCATGATAAATACCCTACAGAAAATTGGAATAGAAGGTCTATCTTAACTTGATTAAGGCTATCTATGAAAAACCAACAGCCAACATCATACTAAATGGTCAAAAACTGAAAACTTTCATGCTAAAATCAGGAAC